AAGCATTAGGGATAGCAAAGGAACGGTCACGTGTAGCGGCGAGCGTGGAAAAACAAAACAAACCAAACAAAAAAAAAAAACTTAAAAAAACACTAAAGAAAGAGACCGCCGGAAACCGGCGAAAAAATCCGGAAGAAAAGAAAAGAAAAAAAAAAGAAAAAAGCAAAAAAAAAAAAAAAAAAAAAAGTCAACGCCGGAGACCGGAAAAAAATCCGGAAGGAAAAAAACAAAAAAAAAAAAAAAAAATTAAAAAGTCAACGCCGGAAACCGGCGTTGACCGCCGGTCAACGCCGGAATCCGGCGGCAAAAAAAAGTTTTTGAAAAAAAAAAAATTTTTGAAAAAAAAAAAAATTTTGGGTCAAAATTTAATAATTTGTGAAATTTGGGGTCAAATTGAGATTAAATTAAGTTAAGGATGAAATTGGAGCATATTAAATTATACTCCAAAAAAAAGTCAAAATTCAATTTTTGTGGTCAAAATTGAACTTTTATGGACAAAATTGATTAATTTGGGTTACAATTAAGAATTGGGTATAAATGGTTGAGGGTAATATTGGGATATACATGAATGTTTCCTTTAGTTATAATAAATATTAAAGGGATGGGCTTATTGGTGAAAGAAATATGTCCCCTAAACCTAGAATAATAAACATGCTTGGTTGGGGACTTTTGCATAAAAATCCCTATAAATTAAAACAAATAGACTTATATATTATATAACAATATATTGAGATGCATTTGAAGATCTAGCACCGTCGATCCAGGCCTTAATCAGGACTGCATGGCCCACGTGTCAACATCATATCCTCATGCATATCTCTACCATTTGATCATCTATTCATAATATAGTGTTATATATATTAATTAATTAGAATTACAATATCCCTCATTGATTATAAATAATTATATAGTGATAGGTTCTCACTAAATTCCAACTATAAATATATCGTCTCTTTCACCCCTCTAAATCGGTGATTATATATATACACACTAATATGGTACGTAATTTACTAGAATATTCCAAAATTATAAGCTTTTATATATCTATATATACTATATATATATACTATATATATCCAAACATATACATACATGCATGTGTGTGTCGTATATAATGGACCCGTGTGTGGGGACAAAAACTAGTTAGATGATGAATTATTGTACAGAATGTATGCGTGATTGACGTTGAAATTTAATAATTTTATAAGCTTAGCTTTACATAGTAAAGATCTCCCCGAATCTTACTAACTACATCAAATGATGAGAGAGATAGACACATAAGCTTTAGAGAGAGATAGTAAATTGAAATTAAATGTGTTGATTTTCTTAATTAATAATTAATTAACTAATGAGAGAGAAATAGGGCTTCCAAAGTCTTCACCACAACTCCAAGTGCATGACCCACCTTGTCTCCACTTTTACGTGTGTATGGTGTGTTCAATTTCTCATCCACAAAATTCAATTTTTTTTACTATACATATACATGATATCTTGATCTTTCACTTAGGTTTAATACAAGTTACATAATAGTGAAATATATTTAATAGTTTTTCGTATTTACTAACAGTCACAGGTACATATGAATGTGTGTAAAATATTTATAAGTCTGGTCGTTGAGACCCAAATAAGCTAAAATTTATTTTTTTTTTTTTTTTTTTTTTTATAATGCAGGAACCCGCAGTCAACCATATAGGTGCACTGGGTAAACCTACACTCTCGTATAATAGCTTGCAAACCATACGAGAGATGTAAACCACACTAGGCTAACCATGTGTGACAAGCTCGACCTAGCGACCGTTGGCAAGGGGATTCGAACTTGGGTCAATTGACCCAAGCTCTCTTGCTCCAACCGCTAGGCCACCCTTGCGGGTGCTAAAATTTATTTTCAAATGACAGAAATTAGGTTTGAGCTATAAATAATTGAAATAATTATGGC